TGACCATCTCTAATGTATTTCTCTATATTTGACTCTAAAATAGAGTAAAAACTAGCAATTTTCAATTTTCACTCCAATGCATCTCTATTATAGAGAAAATGTTATTTTCCCCCTCTAAAATAGAGTTCTCTACACTTTTTCTTCTATATATAGAACAAAAAATAGAAATCTTTATTTTAAACTTGAAAATAGAAATAGGTTGAAAAAATAAAAATAGAAAATTGTTATTTTTTCCTTATTTTTAAAGAAAAAAAATAAAGATGGGTTGTTGTCTTGGAGATGCCCTAACTAGCGATGTAGATGGTGACAGAACGAGGGATTTTGCTTCCTTTATGAATTCTAACCAGAACAAACTAAAAAAAAAGTAGCTATGAAATTCACAGTAAGTTCGGTTCGTAATACTTCAAAAACCCATATTTGCTATAATACAGATTTGGGTGTCAAAGGCAATAGCCAAGGACAAACCAATTACAGTTTACTTCACCACAACATTGGAATGATGAAAACGCACCAAAAGAAACAGGAAGACAGTTCCTTCACCAAAGCCTACGAGATTTTGAATGGCACACAGAGAGAAACTTGCATAGACTCAATAACTCTTTAAGATTTTATGTATCGATCTTAAGTAGCGAATTGAGTGACGTGCTGTTGAACCGCTGAGCAAAGCCGCGGATGACAAGCACTATAACATCGCGGAGATGGCGTGAATGCACCACCATGTCTACTTCATTCTCACTATCCACAACAACCCTTAGCCTTCTCTGGTCATTACGAAATGTCTCTACCTGGTTTGATTCAAAATGAAAACTTTGTTAAAAGACAATTCGAAGATTTAAGAGTCTAGTGATTGTGATCGCAGAAGCACTTACATGGAAAGGAGGAGCATAGCTTCCACGAACTTCAGTAGTTGGGAAAGACGTCTTTGAACCTGGTTTCACAACCTTTAACCTCTTCCTGTTCATTTCTAGCATTCGTCTCTCGAGATTTCCCTCTCCCACAACCTACATCATTAGCACTTTCACTCTTTAAAAATCCCCCCAATTCGATGAACATCATTTGTAATACCGGAAAATTATGAAGGACATACCTTTTTTGGATAAGGGTCCTTGTCACACAGCACCTGATTCCAAGAGATCAAAAGAAGGAAACAAATGATTGAACTTTTGACATATTTCGGCAAAAGAAAGAAAGAAAATGAAGGATTGCTCTCTTATAGGAAAACTAGCGAAGCTAAGAAAACAAAGCACAAAGTTAATCTTACCTCAAACTTCACTAAACCAGTTTCTAGTTTCTGCTTCACTTCCTTATAAAGATCAGGTTCTGCAAATTAAACAGCAGCATGAATCCCATTGCTTTTAGAAAAGAAAATTAGTCGTGGAAGTTAGGTAAAGAATATCCAAGGGAATATGCAAGAGATTCCACTAAAAGGAAGCTGGTAAAGAGTTACTGTATGCAAATTTGAGGCCTTATCTGAGAGAGCTGATGACTATAGGTATTAGTTGATTATATAGTACATACACATATAACAATACTAATCACGACAGTGATGATGGTTAAGACTTACCAACAGCAACAGGTTCTGTTGATGCAGAAACTGGGTGGCCTTCAACACCATCATCACGTATGGGTGTATATACAACGACCAGTCTGTATCCGACATCATCTACATTAGCTTCATACATCCTTCCTGTCTCACCTACAAAATTAACCAAACTCTATATTAAAATGGTTGAAAATGGATGCAAGAGAACCGAGAATTAAGACTCTCATAAAATGCAAAGCTTTACTTACATGAAGGAAATAACAATGTGAGAAAAATTTTTGTGTACCTGGAATTGAAATGAGATCAGGGCTTCCGACCATTGATCTAAGCCATTGGATTTTACTCTTCCCCTCTTTACCACCAAAATAATTGCCTCGAACAGCATATAAATTGGTGTGAAAGCCTCGTCCTTCAATCTCCAGCTTCTCTATCCTAGGAAAACCTGAAAATAGATATAACGTGGGTCACACGTACAATTTTTAAGAGATATTGGTCAACAAGATGCAATAGTAATTGGATAGCATAGAAACCTGGTAATATTGGACCAGTCTCGGCATAAGCTGGTTCACTAGACCTTCCCCACACATCATGTACAACACATTCACATTTGAGATATTTACCAATGTCCTCAAACCGCACCTTATATGAACATGAATTTTCTGTAGAGAGAGCCTCATACGATATCATATCCCCCGATTCCAGTGAGTGGAACCTGTCACAACCATTGTTATGTAAGATCAGATACATAAAACAGTTTCTGAGAATTTCTTTGTGACACCATGTATAAAAAGCTAGCACAAGTGAAAAGCAAGTAGCCATACAGAAAGCAGATTTGCTAAAGATATCACATACTAAGTTCAACACATGAGAAAAAAAACATTTTCCGTATACAGTCCTATTAGGAATCCATCCAAAACGAAACATGTTCATCTTATAGCACCTCTGAAAAATTCTTAGTCCCAGTAACTTCTCGTGCAAATATTTAGCCAGAGATAAGATGCAATATACCATTGGTATTGAATAGCTTCTTTGTACTTGCTCCAGACAAGTTGTTGGATTTCAGTCTTTGGGATCACCTGGACGGCTGTGAGAATATCACCCTGTACAGCCTTTCCGGTGAAAGCAAGCATGTCTACTTTTGGAACCTCTGTATTGTGTCAAATCTGTTAAAACTGTGTTGCACAGAGAACCCACAAAGAAACCCAAGAAAAATGGAAACAAAAATGGAAAACATAACACCACTAAAAAAATCAATGACATATTGACATGAAGCTTTTGCTAGTGATCAAGAATGAAAACCTGGGAGGATAATATCAGTTGGCTCAGACATTTTTAGCTCTCCCACAACAGAATCTGAACGAACTGGTGTGTACCTGCGAAATAAGTTGAACACGTTTTAAGATTCAAATTCGCATACAAAAGGCGAAACCCATTATGGAGCGAGGGATCACTATCAGTATTTTGAAACAAGAAACATTAATCTATGAATTGATAAAACCAAAGCCAGTTATTCTGACAAACATAAAGGGACCAGTTAACACATGCAGAAGATTTTTTTTTTCACGAATGAGAGACCAAAACATTCGAAAGTGTACAAGCACAACAGTAATTTACATGCATGCTAAAGAATTTATCAGAGCAATGGGTGCTTGTCAAAAGCTGCAAGGAGAAATGGCTGTGGGAACATACCCAAACAATATCCGGCAATTGTAATCTGACTCAGTCACCTCATACGTTTTGGAGTTAGCCCCAGCAATAAGATCAATGGTTCCATCATTATCTCTGTACCAACTGAAGAGACTTGCACCTTCATGGCCGCCAAAGTACTCCCCTTCTCCAGAATAAGCATCCGAAAAAAGTTTTTTCACATGAACATTAAATACTTCTGGATCAGCTGCAAGATTTTTCACTTTATTCCGTCAGAATCATAGAGTTTACAAATCCGCTAAACCTATGGTCCTTCGCAAATTGGATAAAAGTTGAACATTGACAGGTTAAGGAAAAGCTTCAATCAAAAGGTGATATCATGAAAGTGTCGATTAGCACAACAAACTACATTGATGTGGACAATGAATAAAATGTTCCATCAGATTAACTAGCAAGCAAGATAATAGAAAGCGTGGCAATGTCGGCACCTGGGGCTACAGGACAGTTCGTTATCGAAACAACTGGCTTCCCACTTCTCCCATCTACACGAGTAGGAATCCAGTATAAGACTAGATAAGCCCCTACATCTTCGAGAGACGGAGTATATTTTCTGCAAGAGAATCGGATCCTTCACATTTATCCAAAAGAACAAAATTAAAAGAGAAATTTAAACTCAGTTTTGGAAATCTGTGGCTCTTACAATGTTCTACAACAAGCAACAACCTCTTCACCAGCATAGGATATTTCCGTGAGTGCAGATCCATGCAACTTGTCCTTAGTTCTATACCAGATGTACTCTCCAACACCTTCATGACCCCCAAAATAAGTTTTACGAGGCACAACCTCTTGTTTCTCGCAGCAGTCAGGGACTAAAAGCTCCAACCCCATAGGATTTGCTGTTTGCAAAGGAAAAATAGGAGCCCCGATTAGTAAATGTAGAAAACAGTGACAAATTCAGTATACAGAGTATACCCTTTAGCTTAAATGGACATTCTACAAAAACTAAAGTACAGAATTGACATGACATTCTCTCAACTTTTGAAAGACAGCTCACCTGGAGCAATGGCATCAGACCTGATACTCCTAGGAGTCCCTTCTATTCCATCTTCGCGAACAGGAGTGTAAATAAGTTCAATGCTTTCCCCGACGTCCTCCAGTGATAAATCCAAAAACTCTGTTCAGTGATCATATTGATTAATCTGCAGCTGATTTTTAAGGGGATAGCAAGGAACCTGAACCGAAAGTGATAAAATGGATCAAAATTTACCATCATTACTCAATGTTTCCTTAACACCATTACGTTTCACCCTAAACCATTCAAGATAGCAATTTCCCTTTATCCTGCATTACAAAATGTTAATTTAGTCGTGGACTTTTCCATCTAACAATCACATAAATTTCTAGCAACTGTATAGAGTTTACCCTCCAGTATATGAAGCAACAAAGCTCAAGCGTTGCCCTTCAATCATTGATCCAAGAAACTCCAAGGACTGACAATTTGGATGGCCTGCGGAGAAAAATTAATAGATAATTCATCAAGCTTACACTACTCATCTGCTTGTTTCATGGAAATTAGTACCAGCTACAAATTAAGAAGCTAGTACTATACCAGCTACAATTGGTCCAGATAGTTCAGAAATAACAGTGGGTCCACGAGCCCAGTCATTTCTCACGGGTTCATAAGAAACCGAAATGCAGAAGCCTATATCATCTACTGACAGCAGATATGACGAAGTAGTAGCACCCTTTATTTCACATGGAGTACCATCTGAATTAGTCTGCAGGAAAATTCATAAGTTTAAAAACAACCAAGGCACTCCAAATCCATGCAAATTTATCAGCAATAAAAGGAAGAAAAGTGTTGCTTTTGTGTTCTCAAATATTCAAACACTACCAAGTACATAGGTATATGTGATGCATTAAGAAACCCACCCAAAAGGAAAGGAACATACTTCTCAATATCATAATTTTGCAAAATTTGAAAATTTGAAGTACAATACCCGGAACCACCGGAAAACAGAAGCTCCTTCTAGACCACCCCAATATTCTTTTTCTGCAGATAGCATTGTTCCTTCAACAGCAGCTCCAACAACTTGAAGAGATACCGCTCTTGGGTTTCCTGATGATCAACAAAACTACATAAAATAAGCAAATTGTTATGGCAAAAATCACTGTGTAATAAAAAGTGAAAACAATTGTAGGAAGAAAATGAACGAAAAAGAGGCCCTGTTCATCTTGGTTGCATGCCCTACTCTACTTCAAATCATCTGTGTTATTTTCAGCCTTTAGTTATATATAGGATTTCAGCATCTAGATCATACTCCCCAATTTGCAAAGTTTGCTAAACTAGATCAAACTCACATTGCATCAGAAAATTCCATGATCATCTTGCAGCATGGAAACAACAAGACAATGCATTACCTGGACGAACACGTTCCTGGCACATGCAAGTTCTTGCCTCACCCACAATCCCATCATCCCTCACAGGTATACATTGAAATGAAATGAATTTGCCAATAGCTTCTTTAGTAATTGTATACTGAAGAAGCCCAGAGGCTTCAGGTATCAATGTACCAGGGTGATCACTTTCAGCCTGCGCTCGAGGAAGTAAAGAGCAATCAGATGCAACCAAGTTTCCCGAAGGCAAAACTCAAAAAAAATTTGTCAACTAATTGTCTACTGCATATATAGGTTTTGTTCTTTTCTGAAATATATTTTCACAGGGATAAACTGAATTCATCACACAAGACACTAGACTGTGGCTGGAGCTGAACATAGAAACTAAAGTTATGACTAAACCTCAGAGGGAAATAATCTGAAGAGTTTGAAGGATATACCTTACGATAATGCCACTCGTATATGCTTTTACCTTCATGTCCTCCTATGTATCCATATGATGCTGTCAATATTCCACCCTCGATATTGTCCCCAGTAATTGACAAGAAATTCAAGCTGGGAGGAAGGGCTGCCAGTTGTTAAAATCAAAGTAATTAGCACTGAATCAGTATTGACCATAACTAGTACATAGTTTTTGCGTTTACAAGATTTGCCACATTACAGAAGGAAATACTTTTCATTCACAAGATACGCCACATTGCAGAAAGAAGATACAAGAGTAAATATATATAGATAAAAAAAAATTAACTTACTCTCAACTGCTCTTTCAGATATTACATATACTGATTCACCGCATTCACCATCAGGTGTCATTGGAGTATACTTTGCAACTACGTAATAGCCCACTGCCCCCAACGGTATACGGAATGACTGGGAAAAAACATTTAAGTGTAAAAATTTATGAGATATATGTCTTACCAAACTTTTTGTGATGAGCATTATGCCATTATGCATTAGCCTACCTTTGCCACTTTTGATGTGCTCAGTTCATCAAGATTGGCTCCTTCCAGGCTAGAAGAAGTTGATTTGTACCATTGCACTTTGCTTGAACCTTCGGTTCCTCCAGTAACAGTACCTGTTACAGTGACCTTACTATTCTCCCTCAGGTCTCCAATTATCTTAACATCTGTTACTTTTGGGGGTGCTGCAGTTTCAATAAATATAAGAAATAACCAAAATGAGCCAAAAATAAAGGAAAACTCCAGCAAATCCAAATGAGCAGTTCTGATGAATAAATTATGTGATATTAAAACCTTTGAGCTAACAATAGGCGCTAGTTCACAAGAGTCAATTGTTAAAGCAAGATGAATCAGTATCCTAGGAAAACATCTTTGTCCACAAAAGAAGAAATCTGCCTTCTACAAAATTTTAGCATACCTGGCTTGACTACACTGGATAAAGTTGACACTGGTTCTCCCTCTAGCCCTGCAATTTTTTAGGATATGTCAGAATTGTCTACGGCCTAACTCTTTATGATTTGAGGCTTTTGTATAAGTAAGAACCTAAGGGAAAAGAAACAGAAAGAAAACCAACCCTCAAAATTTGCCGGTATGTACACAAAAGTGACATGTGTGCCAACATCTTCCTGGGTCAATGTATACTCAGGTGTTCCAGCCGATATCAACGAGAGTTTGCTGTAATAAAAAATTCTTAGCAAGAGAAGTACAATTTGGAAACTGGCAGAGGAACTTGTAGAATGCTTTAAGCAAAAAAGAAAGTAGAGATACTGCAGTGACGCCACATTCGGACACTCATAAAGGTTCAGATGGTAACTTCCTTAGCTACCAAGCATGAAACAAAGGGACAAAAAAATTATATCTACAAGAATAGTTACCCAGTTTCCTTATTCTTCCTTAACCATTCGAACTTGCTAGGACCTTCCTTGCCTCCAAAATAATCTCCAATCCCCTTAAGGACGCAGCCTTCAACAGCATCTCCAGTAATTCCAACATTACTTACAGATGGAGGAGCTGCCACCAGAATTCATAGTTAGTTCCCCTAGATACAAAAAGTTTAACAGACAAGCGGCCGTTTAATCTTTTTAAAAATGATGAAACAAAACAATAAAACAGACAAATAATAGCCACTATACTACATGAATCAGTTTTAGCATGTAAGTGAGTCAATATGAAAATAGTTAACTGGACTATAAATTAATCCACAGATTAGATGAGATAAATAAGTTTATTGTAAGCAGAAACAGCAACGATGAGGAATTCAACAACCTTGCAAAACAAGCAACCACAGACCTCCAACCATTAATCAACAATGAAAGAGATGAAAGCAAAGTAACACAAATGACAATGTTATGCGGATGTTGGGACAAAGAAAAGGCCACTATCTATGTAGAAGCTTTTTTCATCCACCTGCTTTTACGAACTCTGTGTACTTGTACTGAGGCTCTCCTCTTGCACCTCCTTCTGTGACGGGTGTGTACATAAAGACCATACTTGACCCCACATCATCTAAAGATAACCTATATTCTTCATCCTCAGCTCCATCAATCACCACAGGGCTCCCATTCCACTTTCTCCTCAACCAACTGGTTCAAACAAAAAGTAACCATACCTCTTTTGGTTACTAATCATAATTGTACCAAGAAACTGGAATAGATAAAATTATTAGAAGCTGCATATAACAAAAGGAGAAAGCAGAAAACATGACCCACCTGGTAATACACTTTCCGGGCGTCCCGCCACACCATGCAACCACTGCTTGACCCTTGAGAATATTTCCTTCAACTAGTTCCCCTTGTAGTTCAAGGCTCACAACTTTTGGTATTCCCTTTCCTGCACACCACTTCATTGTGAGATTCTAGAGGACACCGGTAGATAGATACATGCAAGGTACATAAGAATGGAAAACTTCCATATGGTCTATTGTATCACTGAAGAAGCATACCTCGCAGAACTGGTGAAGATATGGCAAATATGGGTGGATATTCAGTCTCTCCAATAGCAGGAGTACATTCGATCTTTAGAATTTTACCAATGTCTTCATGTTTTGGCCAATAGACCTATTGTAAATTAGAACAAGAATAATAAAACAAACTCTTTTAACAACAATGCAAATGAAAATATGGAAAGGGAAATTTTACCTCCTTGGTTGCATCAAGAATAGGAACAAAATGAGAAAGAGATCTGTCTGCCACAGACCATTGATATCTCAGGGATAATTCCGGATCTGTAGCAAGAGTACTTTCTACAACAAGACCAAAGTGACATTGACAGGGAGCTTCTTCAGAAGGTCGGTCAACAGATACTTCTTTGATAAGACAACCAGAAGGCAACGTATCCTTCCACCTCTCAACTAAGAAGCGAAATGTCAAATCTGTTTACAAGAAGTTGCATGATATGAATATTAATATTATTAGATGCAATTATGGAACCTAGGAGTATGTATTCACATAAAAGCTCAACGAGCAATTACACAAATAGAAATAAACACCTTATGTGAGAAAACCTTGAGAACATCAGTATGGAAAAGAAAATATTGATTTGGGAAACTTTTCGATAAAATATTGATTTGAGAATGCCAATTTGGCTAAACAGTCAACCTTCCAGTTGTGAACATTGACAACAACAAAAAAAACCAAGGGAGAGGAAAGGTTATAGTTTTCATACGAAGATCATCAAGCTTTGATGTACCATGAAACCACAATGAAAGATTATGTATACATCTCTGAGAAGTGATTTCATACCTGCTGCAAGGTCAGACTTGCAGAACTCCCAACCATCTCTGAGGCAGAGGGCTGTTATTGGAGGATAACGCTTTGCAATTGCCACTTCCTCACGAGAGAGATCTAAAGAAAAATTTAAGGTTAACATGGACCACAGTGACCTAGATAAAATCTAAGGTGCATCCCAAAGAAAAATCTTCTAAATACTTTCTATTGTATCAGTAGAAAACTTCATTCCTAGATAAGACTTTATATATAATTAATGCGGTTATTAATATTATTGTCCAGATACAGCTAGTATGTACCTTGTTAAGCAAACAAAATTAAAAAGGAACAAGTAGTGTTCCTACAATTCTAAGAAATCTAACGCTCAGAAGTAACTTCCATTGATCTAACATCACAACAGCTCCTACCTCTCCTCACTTGCTATTGTTAAATGTTTCCGCCAGAAAAATAACTACTTGAAGTCATGCCAGTCGTCTTTCTCATGAAATGATCAGTCTTAGCAAACTAAGGCACTTAGTTCTACAAAGGAGTACCTCTGTCATTGAACTTCTTCAAGGTAGGGCCTACCAGTAGTATGGTTGCGGCTTCCAAATGAGAAATCTTCAGTAAAGGATTTTCCTCAACCCGGAGATGCTGTGATAGAGACGACAAAATTAAGAACTAAGTATTTGGGACATATTTATGTAACATCAATTTCTGTCATTCCAGGGACAAACACCATTACCACAAAAGATAAGTACTCAAATTGAACCATTGGTTCAGAGGAGAAATTTTCTTTTTTCAATCTTTTATACTAGGTAAGTAGGTAAAACAGTGCATGCGACTAAGTACCCACTGATCCGCCAAATAAGAAATGGGTGAAAAAGTTATATATTGGGACATAAAGAATGAAACCTCAAGAACTGGTAGATATGGAAAGTCCTTCAGAGTTGTTATCCTGTTCTTACTTGCTGCTAGTACCTGAGAACAAATCTTTATGAGGTCTAAAACACTATGACTTGTAACAATGTACTCTAAACAACCTCAATTTTGAAACAGAAGATGTACCTGAAGCCGGGGCTGGCTTGCCATTGCAAGTGATTTTAATTTATTTTGAGCAACAGAGAGAAACTAGCATGGGAACAAGAAAGATAACAGTCGGAAAAAGTCAGGGGTAATCCACAGGAAGAGCATCAAGTATGAAAAACTTGATAGCATTAATTTGGCACATAACTGGAACAAAATGCTTTGTCAATTTCTAATACTCACCTCTAAGTTTGGAAGTTGAGGCAAACTAGCAAGTGAAGTTATCTGATTTCCAGCAAGATAAAGTTGCTGCCCAAGTAATATAAGATTTAAAATACTCGTCAGATATTGCTCATGAAGGAAGAACCAAGGACAGAATGGGAGAGATAGAAACCTGCAGCATTTTGCAATTCTCAAGTGGTTCAAATCCAGGCCCTTTGAAATCATTAAAACTCAAATCCAGAACCTGATAGTAAAGGAAGACACAGGATCACAGCTAGTGTGAGAATATATTTGCGGAAAACCAAGAACCCACGGGAAATGAATTTACTGACCTTAACTCGATTCAATATCTCAATACCTTCAAGAGCAGATAGGAGATTGTCTCTAAGATAGACAAACTGGTAAGGAGAAGAAGTAGAGGAATTTAAAATAAGTTAGAATGATTGAAGTAGAAACTTGACATTATTGAGCATATTTAGAGTGCAAAAGCTAGTATTCTTCTGGGAATTCTAAACTAATATCAGGGACTATCTACAAAATCTAGAGTTCTCCCTCGTGGGATATAAATAAGTAACCCTCCCTACTTCTTATGTTAAATCTAAGATTGGTATATCTACATAAACATCGATGTCACAACGCATTGCACTAGAACATTGTGAAGTCATCATGGAAATATAAGTTTACCTCTAAGTTTGGCGACAAGTGTAGCCCACCGGAGGTTAGACTGCGAATCCTGTGGCCTCTGAGATCCAATCTCTTAAGCAATTACAAATGTCCATTAATCAATAACCACACAAGGGAAGGAAGGAAACAAAGTGTCATAAAAGTTATATCAAGAACTGAACTTCTTGTAAGAAAATCTAGAAGTACAATGAGGAAAGTGAGTTCTTACCATATCATCACCAGCTTTAACCTCCACCTTTGGAAGAATAATGAGTCGGGAATCACGACTTTCTGGGGTAGTTGTAGCTGTTTTCTTTCGTCCAGAGAAGTTGGAACTCCGGTCAAGAGGTGTCGAAAATGACTTTGATCTTATACCGCTTGAAACAGAAGGTGATGATCCAGCAGAGGGAGAAGAAACCGTCCTCCCACTTGTGAGAGTAGAATGCGCTCTTCCACCACTGGTCCTGCTTCCACTACTGTCAACTGATGAAGATGGAGCTCGTTTTGATGACACGGAGACACTCATGGCTGGTCTAACAGGAGACTCTGGCTTACTTAAACCAGACCCAGTTAACCTTGTCGAACTCCGCAAACCTGGTGATACCGTGATAGACTTTTTACTCTCGGGAAGGCTTGTTTTAGACACAGTCTTAGCAGAAAGAGAAGACACTGAGCTCCTCTTCAGTTCTGGAAGTGACCGTCTTACCGGGTCAGTAGGTGAGGCAGCACTAATTCGTTTTGGCAAAACCTTAGTGGTACCAATCGACTTCTCCGCTACTCCTCCTCCAGTGCTATTTCTCCTGATTGTCACAGGCGTAGAACCTGAGACCCGTGAAGAGAAAGACGCGGTTGGCTTTATTAAATTCGAACTAATGACTGCTTTCTTTTTAGTAGTAGCAGTTCGACTTGACACAACAGGCACTGCAGAACCACTCTCTGGACTCTTGCTCACATCAGCAGTAGTTACATTGTCTTCTTTCGTTGTCTCTACTGTAGTTTCCAGAGTTTCTTCCTCAGCCTTGGCTGCTACTTCCTCCATTTTGAAACCAATCGAAACTTATTGCAGAAATAGAAGAAAATCCTAGAACATCAGACGAATCAACAATTATTTCTGCTCAAATGTGAAACAATTTATAGAAACATAACAACAATTAAAGGAAACTTGTCTTCTCAATTACAAAATTTATCTACTTTATTGTAATAATACAGACAACGGAGAATCTGGCTTCTTTCAGCACACAACTGTCGGTTACTTCTACATTTTGTGAACAACCAATCCACAAAAAGCAATTTTCTTTAAAATTTTTTTAAAAAATAAACATTGAGAGATATTTTTTGAGTGAAACAGCAGAAGAAATTCCAGAAAGTAAGAGTAGAAGTTTTCTCATTCAAGCAAATAAATTTCT